TGTGGGGAAGTATTTTTTGTAAAGGGATGTGGGTGATTTGATGAGTGGATGTGGAGATAAAAAAGAAAATATAATTAGGGTTTTTGTAGGTTTTGAGAAAAAGGGTTGGAGGAGGAAGAAGAAAATGAAGGAGAGGAAGGAGAAGGGAGTGGAGGAAGAAAATTAAAGAAAATGGTGGGAAACTTGGATGTAAGATGAGGGAAAATGAAAAATGGAGAAGAAAAAGAAGAGGGAAGGAAGAAGAAGAAGAGTGAATAATGGAGGAAGAAGAAGAAGAAGAAGAAGAGAAAGGAGAGATTTTACCTTGCTTGGAGAGCTTGGAGGGAGGCCGGCCTTGGAGTCGCAAGAGAGGTCGTGAGAGGGGCGGCTTTTGACGTGAGAATGGCGTGAGAGGGAGTGAGGGATCGGTTAGGGAGAATGTGAGGGAGCTATGAGGGTTTAAGTGGGTTATTTAGGGTATTTTAGGGATTTTTTAAATAAAAAATCCTTTTTTTTTAAAAGCTCTATTTCTCTCTTTTTCTAATTTTTTTTAATTATATTGCACAAAAATAAAATTAAATTTTTAATATTGCACCGAGTTGGTCGTCGCGTCGTCGCTCGCACAAGTTGTCGTCTCGATTCGCGCGCCCAAAATTTAATTTTTCGCCGACCCCCACCAATATGGGTGTCAATCTTAGCTGTTTCCGTTGCTCCGGACGCATCGGCGCTGTCCGTTTCGCAAACAGAGGTCATCTCGACGATTTTGGGTTTTCGGTCGACACGCGTCGAGTGAGTTTTTGCGCGATTTCGAGCTCTTTTGCTTTTCAAACTCATCTCGCGCGGTCGACTCGACCCGACACTAGTATTAGGGTCAACACTCAAATATCTCCCACCCGGATTTCCACACAAATAACTTAGGGGAACTCTAGAACTCACAAAGAAATCTACAAGGGCCACTTCCTCAAGAACTCACAAAGAGATCTTGGGAATCTCGAAACTCACAAAGAGATCCTTCCACTTCCTCAAGAACTCACAAAGAGATATTGGGAATCTCGGAACTCACAAAGAGATCATTCTCCGCTCATGAACTCACTAAGAGATCAAACAAGTAGAATAAAATTTTATTAACAATTCCTCCTCCCATTACACAAGAAAGGGCCTCTCTATATAGGCCTAAGAAATTAAAACAAGACACATATGCCCCTAAGGCTTACATAGGACGACCCTCTTAAGTGAGGGTAAAAACGAAAAATTTATAATAAAAATTAAAAATTACAAATAAAATATAAGATAACGTGGGACGATGACAGCCGTTGATCTTCAGCTCCTCGGATAGCCATTGACGGTTGGATGCCCGCATCACAACCTCTAAGTTGCATTTCACTCCCTCTTTCCTATAAGCCAAGATTGCAGAAGAGCATCCAAATTCGTCTTCATGCTCTCAAATCCAAATTAGGAGGATGAATCCCCTCTTTGGACACCAAGAATTTAAAGAAACTCCTCAAAATTGTAATATGTAAGTTGCATTTTTTAACACCTCTTTTTCTACGAGCCTAAATTGTAGGAAACCTTTAAATTCATTTCCATTTGCCTAGCTTCAAATTAGGCAAATGAATTTGTCTCTCTGAACATCAAATGCTTTAAGGAACATTCATAGATTTGCAACCCACAAGTTGCATGATCCTTTCCTCGTTTCTACAACTCAAAAGTTGTAGGAAATCCCATCATTCTCCTAAACCAAAATTAGGAGAGTGTCCACCCATCTCTTTGAACATCAAATGTTCAAAGAGGTTTCAGAAGCTTGCAACCCAAAGTTGCATCTTCTTTTGTACTTTCTACAACTCAAAAGTTGTATGAAACTCTCTTTCACTTAACCTATGTTGAGTGAATCAATCATTTTCCAAATCAAACTACTTGTTGAACCAAAAGCAACAAGTAGTTTCATCCTAAACATAGGATTCAAAGGTTATATTTCCAATCCATCCTTCCAACCCAAGTTGGAAGGGTGCAACCATCCCTTTGAACATCAAAATGTTCAAAGACATTCATGAATTTGCAACTCATAAGTTGCATATTGTTCCAACTCTCCTCCAACTCAAAAGCTGTAGGAAATTTCCTCAAAGAGAGTTTTTCAACATTTAGCCCAAAAACTAAATGTTGGATTCCTACTTTCTCTTCTTAGCTCTAAAAGCTAAGGAGAATTCTTCAACATGTAGCCCAAAAGCTATATGTTGGACGTCTTTCTTAGACCCAAAATCTAAGTAATCACTTTTATTCAACCCAAATTAAGTGATCTCTTCTATGACATTTAAAATGTTAAATTCATAAATGTCCCATTAGGAGTTATCCTTTTTGTTGAAGTTTATCATACTCTATTGGATGAATCTCACAAAGTTCTAAGTGCAACCCCTTAGGCATGTCTTACCCTATTAGATAGACACTTCTCTTATCCAAACACTAAGAGAATTTCAAAACACCTAAAAATCACTTAGGTTTCTTTTGATACAATGATCGATCATCTCCCCCAAAAGGTGGGATACTTATATCATTGTATCTTAGGATTCATAAGTAACAGACTTGCTCAAAAGCAAGCAGTGATTATTTTATGGGTTCTTCATAACCCTCATAAATATGAAACATTTAAAAATCAAATAAAATCTTTAAGTCACAAACAACTTAAAAGTGAAACCATCCTTAGATAAAGATCAAACATCTTCATTGCAAAATAAAACCAAACACCTTTAGTGTGACATGCCACAGAAGCCTTACACACTTAGATGCACAACCCCTTAGGCATGCTAGGATTAGAATTTTTCTTTTTCTGCGCATGTGTTTGATGTTGTGGAGTGATTGTCTTTTGAATTGTTTGTGTTGTGGGCACTTGCCCTTAAGTGGTAAGTGTAGAAATATATATGTTCTTCTTGTATGTGGCCATTTTAAAAAGGAGGCACTATAAATCATAAATATAAATTGCTTGTATAACAGGTGCTGCTTAAAACCCTCAAAGGATGTGGTCAATAGGGTAGAAGCAGGTGTTTGACACTCTAAGTGCTAAATAAAATTTTGGATGCGATGCTTTATTTTAGCTCTAAGTGCTAAATAAATTGCTTCTAATCCACTGCAGGTTTGAGTCTCTTTTTTTTTCAAACATGTATTTGATAAAATTGACATGTAATCAAACTTGTGGGGATTTAGAGCAGGGGTTTGGAGCAAAAGAGTGAAGTGGACTGGAAGGATGTACCTGCCAAAGGTGAAACCCAATGTCCATTCAAAAGTCAAGAGCCTGAAGAACCCCCCACAAGTAGAGTCCATCATTTGACTGGGTTGTATAATGGCAGACAACTCAGCTGCCAAATCTAGTTGTAATATATATATATAAATGTATATATATATATATATAAGCATGTTTTGATTGTTTACCTGATTGTGCAATAGAAATGCATGTTTTTCTTAGATTTTTTTCCTTGCTTTTGCTTGGGTGTGGACTAGACTTGTGATGCGGTAGGCTCTTAGGACAAAAATAAATTTTCTACCTCTTAATATGTAAACAATCTAAAAATGAAATTAGTCTCCATGATTTTCTAATAAAAGAATTGCATGGCTTCTTTTCAAGGAGCCAAATTTTTCAAATTTAAAAAAATCATGCATAGCCAAAAGAGTGTCTCATGTTGAAAAGCTCTCACTTAAGGACTAGATAATAAAAAGTCTGCATTTGTGAGTTTGTGTTCTGCATACGCTGCATACACAGACATCTTGGCCTCAAAGCCAAGCTATAAACCCTACTTTCTAAATAAAACAACCATTTACTCTTCATATGCATTGAGACTAGAAAATATGATTTTAAAAGCGTTTAGGTGAATTTAGCTGGTAGTCCTCTTCAGGAAGGTCAATAAATCCAGGAGTCGGGCTGACTATGCCTCATATGAGGTGTAGCTTATAAGTCCCTTTTGCATTCTGTTAGATTTATGTTCGAGATAGTACTCCTCAGTAGTCCTCACCTTAGTTTTAGGATCTGAGGCATTGGTTGATTCCAAATCACCCTATAAGCCCTCACCTTTCGGGCAATTCCTCCAACATATGTTATTGGAATGTAAGCCCTAACCTTCTAATCAAAGTGATCAACTTGAACAAAACTAGAGTTCAAAAATATAAAGCCCAATATAGGATAGTCCGAGCCCCTATGTGATTTCTCAGAATCAAGTGCTTTTACTTCACCCCATTTGGCTCTCATTTCAAAATCTGATTCTAAGTTGATATTTTTCTCCCTTGAAATTCGTAAAGGGCCAAAACCTTTAAGCAAGATTTTCATGGTTTTAAAAATTAAATTTTAACCAATATTTAAATGACTTAAAAAAAGTAAAACCACTAGCTTAATCAAAAGTTTTCTCAACCTCCAAAGCTTGGGATGTAATTAACCAGAGGGTCTTGCCCCTGTGGGACGTCTGTACCCCAGAAATAAATAAACTTCATTCGACCAAAACATCGAATGGGGGAATCTCTGTTAAAATTGTAAATTTTATTATTGAGTCCATAAGTAAATAATATCTTTACCCTTTGGGGTATTATATCATCATTCTTATGCCGTACTCGATCATAAAGTATGCAATCCGTTTGAGGATTACAAAAATTTTCCAACAATAAGATGTTTTAGTAATCACTTAATCTGAGAGCTATCCCGTCTTTTAGTTATTCATCATCAATCACATTGCTGAAGTGGAGCAAGGAGCAATGAACTCTCTGTGCCCATTATATCAGTTGTTGTTAGTCATGAAATAAGTTTACATTGCGCTTTTGGTCATTTGAGTGTCCGTGTATGTTTGGGGGCTGGTGGTTGGGTGGGTGGGCCCATGGGACTGTACTCATCACCATGAAAACTTCTGCAGTTTCTTTTAATGGTAAAATGTAATGAAAGGAAGTGCTTCATATTTTAAAGATTTATGATTGTTTTCTGATTTTGCATTAGTTTATTTTGTTTCCATTTGTGCTAATTAGAAAGGCTAAGAATTTTCCTTCTTTTGCAGGTATTTTCTGCAATACGTCATTCTATTCAACGTTCACCTTATTATCCAGAATCACATAATGTACATGGGCTAATCTGCGAAGCAAGGTCAGATTATCAATCTGCAATATCTGCTTATCGGTTGGCAAGGTCTGCTCTGAGGATTGCGTCACTCTCAAAAGACTCTGCTAAACATTGTTTAACTGATGTATCTGTTAATCTTGCCAGAGCACTTTGTCAGGTATTCATAATTTTAGCTGCATTTATAGGCGGAGATGTTAGTCGTGCTGTTTTTAATTTATCAACAGACAAATCTTTTTCTTTATGTTTTGTTGCTTGCATTGCATCAGCTATTTTACTTGTGCCTATTTGTGTTTTTGGCTTGTGTATGCATTTGTGTGCATGGAAACATTTTTCTAATGCTTCCATTTTGGGTTCTGTCAATGGGATAGAATTTTTTGCCCTCACTTGATGGAGAAATTATTATGTGCGGACACCGGACTTAGGGCTACGTTTGGGTGCTAATGAAAATATGACACATGGACTATTGTATTTCTTTGTATTATTGTATATTTAGCCATATATTGCTTTGTATTACTATATATTAGCTAGTGCACAATAATACACACCTAATACACACCATTGCATAGCAATACACAACAACATTATTATTGTGTATTGCTACGTATTATGTATGTATTGTTGTGTACTAGCTAATACACAACAATATACAATTAAATACACAGTAATACCTAGTAATACTTAGTCGACACGTCTTATTTTCATTAGAGTCCGGACGTAGCTTCTATGTCCGATAATAATTCTTCCATTTGATGGAGCATATCATCTTACATGTTAAATTTTTTAATTAAAGTTTAGTGTAGGCAGGACATATGCTTGATGCAGAACAGGAGTGTGAAGCCTTGAATAAAGATGGTATGTCCTATGAACCAATGAATTCTCCTATTACCACCTTCTACATTTAACTCTTCTTTATTTTGGGAGCTATAAAATATTTTTGTCATTATTTCATCTGTGTTATATAGCTGATCCGGAGAATTGTTACTGAAATATGGTCGAATTATTACTGACAAAAAGAAACACTACTTGACATAAGCTTCATCTTTCTATGAATCAATTCTATCTGATTTTGACTAACTTTATCCTTTTAATTGTCAAAGGAATGCTTAATTGCAAGGGCTTGCAAATATATGCTGTTGCATTGTGGAAACTTGGGAAGAATGATCAATCTCTCCATGTGGCAAGAAATTTGGCCAAGAATGTATCGACCATGGAGGAGTCTTCTTGTACTGCTGCTATTGGTTTGATATGCCAGTTGATATATCGTATTTCAGGCCTGGAATCTGCAATTTCAACCATTTTGAAATTGCCAAGGGAATACTTGAATGGAGCAAAAATGAGTTTGATTCTATCTACAATTAATGCTTTAGATCCAAATAATCGGTTACAGTTGCTTCTTCCAACTAGTCTGAGTTCTTTTGGTGCTTATGATTTGATTGTTGAAATGCATACCATAACAGCTACGAATAAAATGGTAATTTCTTACATTATGCTAAACCTTCATATTTTCCTTTTCCACGTTTCTTTTTTTAGCATTTGAATGGGTCTGCCTTTCTACCCAAAAATGCAGATCCAGAATGGCTCAGAGCAGTCTCTTGACATTCACAGTGGCATTAAGTACCTGAAAAAAGTTCTACGTCTGTATCCTGACAGCAAATTACTAAGGTGACTTTGAAGTTCGTACACTACATTACCCTATCCTTATATGTCTTTCTTGATAAAACAACCTCAAGTCTTCTGTTGGTTATACGTTTCTTTAAACCGCACAAATTTGGAGAAATTGGAAGTTTGCAGTGCATGCACATATTAAATCTTTTAATGCTGAAGCAATTATTTATGGAAAGGTTTCCATATTGGCGCCAAGGCCTACAATCACTTGAGGCTACAGGTTAGAGTGAGGGAAAGTGCTATGATTCTTCATTTGCTTTGATTCAACCGGCATATTGTTTTCATATGTTTTTTTTTTTTTTTGCATATCAGCATACAGTTTCTGAGAAGAAGAGTTTATGAGGCTAAAGGCTGGATATGTTTATCTTAGTCAAGGAATACTGCAGCGTGTTGTATTAGTTGTTTGGTGCGGATAAAGGAGGCGTACAATTGCATACAACATGACAAGTAGTAAAGCACACTCTTATTTTCCCAAAGGAAGTGGATTGTGGTTATCTTTATCTTAGATATTCTAATATTTTCAAACCATTTTTTTTTAAAAGTATTTTCAACGATTATCAGCTTACCACGGAGTAGCTAGTAAAGAAGTGAACGGGAAAGCTCAATGAAAGATGAGAAAGAAGTTTCATAAGGTTTGAACAATAATGTTGCCAACAAGAACAAAAAAATAAGAATTGAATGGAATACATTGATAATTAGGCAATTTCAAGCTTACTTGAATTTTCAAAAATCAGAGTGAGAAAAGACAGGCATTTATAGGATGCCCACAACTCTAGGCATTGTGAGAGAGAGTGAGTAGCAAAAGCTTAGTTTATTTATTTTTTAACTCTATTTCCCTCTAAGAAGAGATATTTATAGCATTACAAGACTCATACAAACCTATAAAATACCTATTAATTATCTACTACCTAATATTAACTTATAATTTACTCAATATATTTATTACCTAGCGCTACATTCTTACTCTCAAAATATAGGAAATGGAAGAAAAAACTGTGAAATTTCGAGATCTAAGTTGACTAGGGATTTGTTTGGGTGGACTTGTGCGGAGTGGGCAAATTTGGGTAGATTTAGTTGGAGGCGGGCAGATCATGTTAGAGGCAGATGGATCAATGGCTAGTGTGGCTAAATCATGTTTGTGTCGTGTGGGTAGATCTAGGGTTCAAAGTTTTGGTAGATGCGTATCTAGGATGTGATGTTGGATCTAATGATCATGAATGTAACTGTTGAGGCAAATATGACTCGTATTCTTAAAAGTTTAAACCATACTGAAATTTAAATTTTCAAAATTTCCCACGTAAGTTCATGAAATTAAAAGATAACTCATATTCTTACAAATTAAAATTATACTGTGTAAAAGTTAAAATTCTAAGTAAATATTTCTAAATTGATGCCTTCATCATGCTCCTTCTAACTGATCCAGTTATCTTCTTACTTTGTGATGTGGACATCGATTAGAGATTCAAGCATGTGTATCGCCGGAGACAGCACCGATCGACGGCTACGATTCAGAGCCTTTAATTTTTGATGTATTTTATGTTTTATTTAGTTAGCATTTTTATTTCCTAGTTTACCCCCATGGGGAGTGTTGTCTTATTGTAGCCCAAAGGGCATTTGAGTACTTTTATTTCCTTATGTTTGAAGACCTATTTATAGGGTTCTCATGCTTTGTAATAGACTAATGAATATGATGAATGAAAATTTGTTTTGATTATCTTGTCTTCTTCTTCTTCTTGTGGGGAGCTAGAGAGGAGAACGAGAGCCCAAGGTGAGGGCGAAAAGCAATACCCACCAGTCATTGGAAGAGTCCGTGGCTCGTGGTCTATCCCCGACATCCGATCCCCCCTTCCTTTTCCCCCAACCGCCGGCCTTAGCTTCCTCTTGGCCGCCGGCCACCCCACCACCACCATCCGTCCGTGAACCTTTCAACCATCGACCTCATCTCCCATTCCCCTCGAATTCAAATTTTGAAAATTCAAAAATTGAATTTCAAAATCTGCCAATTTTGGAATTTCCAAATTAGGAAAGTTTTGAAGACGCTTCATGACGAAATTCAAATTCAAATGGATTTCTTCATACTCCTTTCTAGATCTTGTGCGCTGATTTGGAAAGCTTTTCATTGTCCCCACATCAATTTCTCCCCCCTATAAGCCGCCGGCCACTCTTGGATGGAGCCCCATCAATGCCTCCCATTAATGCATTGATGACACATGAGTTTCAAATCAATTTCAAATATTTTTCCCTCCTAATTCCCATTAAACCTGAGAATAATTTCAGGTTTTTGAATAGAAACTCCTCTCCCTCCTCTATGGAAACC